TGACTTCAAAGACAGACGCAGGTAATCGCACGCGCTCAGTCGATCTGTCTCATTCACTGTCTGTGCAAATCCACGAAGCCTCTGTAGGCTACAAATCACCATGATAAACAGTCTTGTTATCATTATGAACTTGTTTAACATTCAATACACATACATGAAGTTCAAAACAAGAAGGGTATAGCCTTATAAAAAAACTTGTGAATATCGCGGTTGCTGCGGTTATTTGGAGTTAAAGCTTCCTAGGTGAAGCCGATGCTCCCAGTTTTTTACATTTTAAAATAAATTTTTTTTTTTTTTGGGGGGGGGGGGGGGGGGGGGGGGGATCCTACAGGGGAATCCTGTACAAAAGTGTATGCATCCTGATCTTGTGAGTTGTAATGTCTAATGTCACTCACAGCTAGTAGTCTTGTTACTGTGATATCAGCTCATATTGTCACTCTGGGAAGAACAGTGGATCTTTAACGAGAGAGAGAGAGAGAGAGAGAGAGAGAGAGAGAGAGAGAGAGAGAGAGAGAGAGAGAGAGAGAGAGAGAGAGAGAGAGAGAGAGAGAGAGAGAGAGAGAGAGAGAGAGAGAGAGTGTGTGTGTAAGGGATGCTGATTTTATTTAGCCTCATTTAGGTTCACCAGATCCCTCTGCAGGAGTGGAGAAGTAATGAGCCCTAAATGCTGGCACTTCCTGATTTTATTTCATGTTGTTTCATTTGATTTTATGCTATTTATTTCTCCCTCTCACCGGGGCGCTATAGTGCGGCGAGTGCTTGCGGCTACGCTAAATTGCCAAATTACCATTCTGAAACCGCACAAACAGGGTATTAGCAATCAGGAGCCATTGCCACACTGTCACCGCTCAAGCGATTGAAAGGTGCAGAGCGCTGACTTCTGCTTGTGATTTGCACCGCATGTGGCATGACGCTGGTAAAGGACCTTGCTTTAAATATTTAAAGGGCCCAAAGGAGAAAAAGATGGTGGATCGAAATTAGATTTATAGTCTTAAGTCATAGAATTAAAGAGAAAGAGAGATTACATCACCCAGTAGCCTATAGATATTAAAAAAATACTATAACAGTATATAAATAATGCTTAACTAACACTGTAGGGCATTATGTGTTAGCTTAGCAACATGCTAACATCAAACTCTATTGGAAAGCATTTGTAGAAAAACAACTAACGTGATCATGGGAACATTGATTCATGGGCGCATCTGGTGCGCCCAAACAAAACTATGGGTGCTCCAGAAGGGGAACAAAATATCAAAAATCCAAAATGGTAAGTGGATCCTGTTGTAGAACAGAAGAATGTAGCCGTAGCCCTGTCTTACAATAAAGGCTTTTACCTGTCTAACTATGTGAGTGCCTGGATGTGGATTTTCTTGTTCTACAACAGGATCCACCTACCATTTTATGTTATACTGCTATATGATCTGGCCAAAATTTTGTAGCTTAGAAAGCAGTTGTCACATCTCAAATGTCCCTATATGATGCCTTAAAATGCTTTAGGTATGCAGCTCATTTGGTTTTGGAACACAACTTTTTGCACAGGTTAATCAACCTTTTTCACTTGCATTTTCTCAGTCTGCTCCGCCTGAAATCTCAGTCACTTCAAAAACTGTTCTCACATCAGCAAAAAAAAAATGGCTGCAAAATGGTAGTACAGACGTCTTTAAATGATCAGTAGGCCGAGAAAGATACTTCCTCCGCAGGAATGTTCTGGAACGTCGTCTAAGGAATGAGTCCACCAATGGTGTGTGATTTCTTTAAAACTTGGCTTAAATCAAGTCCATTTGTTTCTCCTCGTGTTGTTCAATCTTCGTAATGGTATTACAGACAGCAGAATTTACTGCTTGGATTCATCGAGTGGTCTTTCCTACTAAAACAAAAGTTTAGGGCTCACAGCTGAGTGGATAAATCACCCGCACACAAACTAGCCCAACCGGGACATCCTTTTTTGTTTTTTGTTTTGTGTGGATACTGTTGTGTGTTTGGTGTAGTGTGTATCGTGTATCGTGCACGGCAGATATTTGTTAAACCACAAGTTGTCAAGCATTGTGTCGAAGACCTCTTGATCTGAGCTTTTCCCAGCATCAATAATGCAGGTGTGTTCAATTATTAACTGATGGCCAGAATTCTCAAAATGGCATACTGGGATTTTTGTCACCTTTTTGGCTAAAGGAGACTGATGGCCCCTTTACCTCTCTTTCCACTCCTTCCTATTTTCCCTCTTACACAACCCAACCAGACGCTGCTTAGTCGCTGTCAGTCAAACTTTGAAAAGACTCAAATTCAACCAATGATGGGTTTAAAGTGGAAGGCATTTAGCAAATCTCCACACTGAGGCCACTTCTTCATTTTCTAGCCATGCACTTATTGTAGTTGTAATGAAAATGTGGCTTGTATATTTCCAACTTAAGACCAGAAACTAACCAAATCTTCATTTTGTTCATGAATGCGTACAAGCAACTCAATCTCATGAGAAAATTGTACTATTTTACGATGTGGTAGATTTTTTTAGAAAAAGATTAGCATGAAGGTCCACCCCTAAACATAATTGTCAATGGGGCGTAAGGCAGATTGTATGAAATAGTATGATCATTCAAATTCATATGAATTAGCCACCAATTTGCTAAAGTGTAAAATAATTATGAATTGCCATGAGAGTGTGTTGACGTTTAAATAGTAGCGTTAACAAGGCGTTTAAATAGTAGTTCAGGTCACATTGCATTGGATGTGAGTTGACACCAGGTCAGACTTTAAGATAAATTTGATTCCTGTGACCAGAGTTTGAGGTGAAATATTTTTCTGACTGTTTGTCTTTTTTTTCTAGTTTTAGTAAGCAAGTAGAACCAATTGATGCATTTATGCCTTCAAAACACTAACAAATGATTCACAGTTCACTGTGAGGTGAATTTCACGATAGCACTTCTGAATTCTGCTCAGAGGGCGAAGCTGGAAGATTTGTGAAGTTTTCTTTCCTTCTGATTTATTTCCTCTTAGACTTTTACCACACACTTCTCATCATCTGCCTGTCTTTGAACTATGCCAATCGAATTTCAAAGAGTGCTCACTTCCCTCCTGATTGCAACAATTATCAGAAAGACCCCTAACCCCACCAGACTGTCTGTTAAACTCATAGAAACACGTATTGAATGTATAGAATTGCGCCACGCTGCCATGTGCTTTGTCATTGTGCTCGTGTTTTTAGTGGAAAGTGTTATTTAAACATTTTAGGAGCCATTTTCCAGCTTCAGTCTATAGTATTGTGTCGTGTTATAGTGTTGTATACAATAGTTGTGCATTATAAGCACTCAGCCTTAATGGTATATAAATGGATAGCTTTGTTTGAGTGGATGCTTTTGGTGCACAAACATGTCAGAAGATGGGCTGAATTAGGCTGGTTTGTTTGTTCAGTCATTCAGCAGGCACGGACAGCTTGTTGTGTCTGGCTAATTGGGAGTCTGTTGGAGAGAGCTCTTTGGTCTGATCAATAGCCATTCACCAAGCAATAACATAACAGAGGGTTGTGGCTCTACTCGTCTGAGACAGACCCACACAGATTGGGCAAAACAATCCAACACCTTTCTTGTGCTCATAGCGCTGTCAATCTTAGTTTTACAAAAGCAGGTTTTCCACCAATACTGCACACTTTGTGTTCCATGGAAAAAAGTGTGTGTGTGGATAAATGATTGTGTGCATCTGCATTTAAAATGGATGTTTTAGCCTGTCCTACCTCAGAGGTCTTGACATTCTAGACTGTATCTAACCATTAGAATCCTACAGCAGTCAAAATCATAATTTTGACATAATCTGTTGGATTTAATAGAAAATTTTAATTACTAACTAATTCAATTACAAAAATACTAATATTTAGCTTAACTACAGTAATTGCAATTACAAAATAACATTAGCTTTGTATGCAATGCTATTTATTTTGTATTGCATGATTCCCTCCTTTACAATAAATGCTGTATTGTAATACCAAAACAGAATATTAGTATATGTGTTGTAATAATTGTTTTATTATGATCAATCTTGTTTTGTTTTATTTGAAAGATTGACAAAAGGCAGCATTTTATGTATTTATTAAGAATTATATGTATGCTATGTAATATAATTTTGTTCATAAAATGTTAATTTAAATTGTTACACAAGAAGTATATCATCATTTTCTACATGTCGAGAAGTAAAGAGACGAAGAAGTGAATGAAAATATTTTTCCATTTTCTCAATTTTTAGACATTAGTTTTGACATTCAGTAATTGTAAGAAAAAAAATTAATGATCAACAACAAAAATAAATCATTTTAATTTAAAAAAAATCTTATAAAACAACAATTGGCCCCACATTATCTAGCCCATTCTATTTTATTTGTTTGTTAATTTTATAGATTTCGTTTGTTTTGATGTTCATTTAATGAAAGCAAGGTTTTATTTTTTTTATTTGTGCATATAATATGTAATCTGACCTCCCAAGGTTGATGCATAACTGTACATTGGTAAAAGAAAAGGAGTTTTGGACCATATTTTCCACCTTACTGGTGCAAAGTGCTGTATATGTATGCTAGGAGAGAGTGTCACATATGAGTGTAACCGGAAGTTGTAAATTTGCTCTTATGCAACAACACTTGTTATCAAAGACATTTCTGTGGTATATTGTGAGCTGTCTGCTTGGTATAAAAGCATTGGCCTGTCTGTGCAGCTGAATGTTGTCGGCAGTGTATCGTGAGCCTTAGTAGTCTGTAGTGGATGGTGTTTGCAAATGACAAGCATCCAGTTCAAGTGGCTCATTGTTGTGAATCAGACAGATACGAATGAGATTTTTCACAACATGAGGATTAGTATGCTAGTTTGACACATTTTACACCCTCTTGAAACTGGCCTGTTCTAATTGAATGTTTTCTCCTCCTGTCCTTCTCTTTCTCTCCCTCTGAACCTGTCTGTCCTTCCCTGTCTTCCTTTCTTCCTTCCCTCCATCCTTCCCCTCCCCATCACGCTCTGCGATACCAGTGGCGGCAACGAAAAACAAAGTGAGAGGTGAGTTGGATCCTCCATCTTCCCTGCTGTTTGATAAATGGGGAGACACCATTCTCAATAAGCTGAGCTGAGATAGCTGCCTTATCACTGCTATGAGCCAGGCCGGCAGTACCACCATCCTGTTCCTTTCCACGCGGCCATTATTTTTGCTATTTACTACCCCTCTCTACCCTAGCCCTCCTCAAACTATTCCTTCTCTCCCTTTGCTTCACTTCCCTTGCCATCCTTTCTTCCTTGTCATCTTTTCCAACTAAGAAGAAAGTTTCTGAACTTCAATGCTACACAGAGCTTAGTCGCATGTGACTTGTAGCATGGCTAACCTTTGTGTGAAATGACTCTAAAACATAATGACAATTTCACTGTTTGTATCACTTGGTTTGTCACAGACAGACTGTCAGTCTGTGTTTTTCAGTGACTCTCTCTCTCTCTGCAGGTTACGTCGTTACACCAGTTGGTGGCGATAAGTGACTGTCTTTATGAGAGTCTCACTGAATAATTCATTCATTCATACAAGCGAGTCAATGAATCATTCATTCAACCTATTTGTTCAAAAGGAAACAAAAGGGAACCATTCAGTTCATTCATATTATGAGTGAGTCATTGAATCGCTCATTTATTCGTTTGCTACTCAGGGATGCGGTTCTTTTGTGACTTTGTTTGGCAGAGCAATAACAAAGGAAATGGCAATATTGTGTCTAAAATGGAAGTTACTCAATATTAACTTGTTATACATATTTAACTTGCATAAATCAGTAGGGGTGGGGGAAAAAATCGATTCTTAGATGCATCGCGATGCGGACGTGGACGATTCTGAATCGATTCACAAATATCAAAAAATCGATTTTCAAAAAAAAAAAAAAAAAATTATATATATATATATATATTTATATAACGTAATATTGACTTGGCCTTCCAATATTCCTCTTCAAATCAAACTCATTTTTTCTTGAATTATGTTGTACATTCAATTATTGAACATTAATTACATCTGCAATACATGTATGTTTGTTCTGGGATTCTCGCTGCTCTCCCCGCTCTTATCCATGCTGTGGATGGGCAGGGAGTTCTTGCCCAGAACAGAAACATACCGCCAATCCAAACTGTATGCTAATTGTCAATCATCTTTGACAATAGCGGTCCTGACAGAAAAGCATTCTCAAGAGCCCAGTCATATGTTGGTACACCAAGGACAGGTGGGTCACATTCACCAGTTGTTCCGTGAAACTCTGTGGGAATTTGCATTCAATTCGAAATCTCCAAAGCTGTGCTTGTAAACGTTTTCTGGCATTCATTAGATGAATAACTTGGATAACATTCTAGAAACAATTTTTTTGAATAACTTTTAAGTTATTTACACTGTAAAAGAAGTTGCTGCCTTAAATTTGAAAGTACAACCAACTTGGCTACATTTCAACTTAAGTTATATTAAACTGACTTAAAAGAAATGAGTTGAATCTTGTATAACTTAATTATAACTTAACTCAATAATTTGAAAATTGTTTACCTTATTTTGATGAGGTATAATAATGGACTAATCGATCTTTTTTTTTTTTTTACAGTGTACTAGGTAATATTTTTCGGTAATAATTTCTTTCTCCCGCTTTCAGCGGATACAATATTCCCTCCCACACTGCGGGTCCTCTTATATAAAAAATATATATATTTATTTTTGTTTTTAAGCATAATCAATTATTGTGAATTTTATATTAACTACTTTTCATAGATCTAGCTGATGCCAAAAAGTTTAAGCTTTAAAGCAGCATGTGTGTCTAGAAAAGATTTTTTCATTGAAGAAACAATCAACAATGCATGCCATTTTAAGGATTGATCTCCATCGCCTGTGCTTGTCAAAATACAAGGATTTTATCTCAGATGTTTACTGTATGAGCATTAAACTGACCCTGTGGTTTACGGCTGTATTCGTTTCGCTTTATTGTGACAGTGTCTCCTTCAGATGCGGCTGTATAATTTCACGGTTGCTGTTTGCCACGTAGTTAGACATTAAATTTAAAAGATACGTTCACTTAAGTGGTTCAGAGAGAGGCAGTGAAATATTTATAAGGGGCAGTTCACAGAGGTTGTGTATGACTTGGTAAGCCACAGAGAAGGAAGATTTCCCTGATTTCCAAACAAATACTTACACGCACAATCAATCTGATAAAAAAATACATTCAACTCCACTATAGCCAGCTGATAACCAAGTATTATATTCATTGTTGCAAAAGCAGCATTTGACAGTTAAAAAGCTGTGGGAACTATAAAAAATGTTACACCAATGTATTTGTGTAATTCTACATCACTACTTGTAAAAAGTAGCTTGTTATGAGAACTCTAGACTGTTTTGAGAACAGCTTTGCTGTGTTTAGTTACTTGCTCTCCCAACACTGCGCAAAAATGAAAATCTTGCCTGTGCAATAGATCTGAATGTGACATTTGTTAGCTCTCCCAAAGGTCTGCCTCATTTTTTTTGGAGGAAGAAAAACTATCACTGCAAATATTTGGAGTCAGGTAGATGAAATGAGGCCTATGTGTACAGAATGAGTGAGACGCTATCAGCGACTGACTCCTCTAAACCACCTGCTCTCCTCATGAATAATGCACGAGACTATGTACTATTCACACACTCACCTCAGATGGCAATTTTACCTGCATGCCATCTGCCTGCAGTGGGACCCTTCCCTGCTCCGTGCACAGCCTCGTCTTGGTACTTGTGTGTGTGTGTTTGTGCTCGGCAAGTAACAGAGTTGTTTTTGTCGACGACAATTTCATAGGCATGGCTCCTGTTCCCTTTTGTTGCAGTAAATTACAGCATTAAAAAGAGAGAGAAAAACAACTTGCTACAATTAAAAAACTGTGATTGGGGTGTTTGTTTACAATGGCAAGAGCAGCTGCACACTGGTCTAATTGTGCAAATGAAAGTGGAACCGCTGAGGCCAGTTCATTTGTTGCTTGCTAATTGATTAGATTTCCCTAAATCAGAAATTGCAGTGCGTCTTCAAAACTTTTCATCCGCTTTGTCTCTTTTCTGTTTAATTGCTTTGATTCACATGATGTGCACAGCCAGCTCATTAGACACTTTGCAATTAGTGCTATGACTGGTTAAAGGTGATGTGTGTAATTTAATAAGTTAAATACTTTTTCTGTTCCCAGCTTAATATGCAGAAACAACTATAACAAAGCTATTTGTAGGATGGTTTACTCAAAAATGTGCATATGTGTCTCTGTGGTAAACCATCCCAATATGGCAACATTTTCTCAAATGGTGTGAGTTTGGGGCAGGACTATCTGTTTGGTTGACCCATAGGGCTGGGACGGTTACCGCATTACCGCGGTCACGTGACTCCAACCGCGGGTCTAAGCTCGTCACCGTCATCACCGCAAAAAAAAAAAAAAAAAAAACATTGGCCTGCACATGTGTGCACGTTTTGTATAATTATATGGATTCATTGATTCTAATGACATGGATTATTTCTAATGATAGTGTGTCTTACATGGATTCAAGGTCCATGCAAATCCCTTTCGCGAGTTGGGGAGCACAATGTTCCATGACACATAGCATTACATTCGTATTAGAGATGCGCGGATGGGCTATTATTATTATTTCATCCGCAACGGAACCGCAGCACAAAACTCATCATCTGTCCGCCATCCATCCGCACCAACGTTTTTTGATCAATTTTCGTTTTTTGAATTTTTTGATCAGTTTTAAAGTCCATGAGCGATGCAAGGCGCTGCTGCCGCGATGCTAGAAAGCTCTTGGCTGTTCTAGAAAGGAGACTGCGCATGCAGCAAAGATATTTAAAGGCTAAAGTCCCTAGTATAGCCTATTGGCTATGTTGTATCCTCAGAATATCAGCAGTGAACTCCGTCTCCGATGGGCGCACGAGTTTCGGTTCATTTATATGAGACGAGCTCCAGTTCACGCGCAAGAGATCGCACCGTCGCTTCCACATCGTCCTGATTATATGTCTGTTATATTTGTATAATTCCAGATAATTAGTTAATGAAACAGTGATTGTAATTAAGATACAATATATACAAATTGTGGGTGTTTAAAGCGGTTTACCGCTATACCGCGGGAATATCTTGCTTTTCAACCGCGGTTAGAAAAAATCCATACCGCCCCAGCCCTATTGACCCATTGCAGACGGAGGAAGTATTCGGAAAAACTGGTGACAGTTTTTTTTGGCGCCCATGGCAAAGAAATAACATAATTCACCTTTAAAGTCAACATGGAATTAAAAAATATATATATTTACTTTCTTAGTGCGTGTTCTTGGCCTTATTGTGAGAATATCATTCTAAATGCCTTCTGAATTTGTTTTTGGCTGTATAGGATCAGAATGTCTAAAAATAAATTACACTCAAAAGTTTGGAGTCAGTATTTTATTTTTTATTTTTTAATTAATCAAGATTCATTAATTTGGTAAAAGAGACAAAGACATTTATAATGGTGCAAAAGTTTTTTTTTTTTAAAGAAGTAAAAAACAGCACAATTGGGTTTTTAACATCGACAACAATAATAGCAAGAAATGTTGAAAACAGAATCAGATGATTTCTGAAGGATCATGTGAAAATTCAGCTCTGCATCACAGAAATAAACTATTTTAAAATATATTAAAATCGTAAATGTATTTTAAATTGTAATAATATTTCACAGTAGTATTAATTTCTTGCTGTATTATTTTTGACCAAATATATGCAGCCTTGGTAAGCACATGAGACTTTCAAAAACATTAAAAATCTTACCGACTCCAAATTTTTTAACACTATAGTGTATATTTAAAGTTTGTTTCCTTGTCAAATCTCATCAAAGCATGTTCTCAGTGATGCCTATTATCTTAATGGTCTTTTATGCTGGCCCTGTCATTTTTTCCTGTCCATTGCGATTGTTGCTTGTCACATACAATTTGACCCTAGGCAGACTGTGTAAATGCCAGTGCTCCTGGTTGTTGATTGGTTCTTCATTTGGATTGCCATCATATTATACTGTAGGTCAC